TTTAAATTCTAATGATCTACATTTAGAATAAAAATTGAAATAAGGGTGATATTTGTTTCAAACAAAAGTGAGGTAGTCCTGATGATTCATTTAGAAACATGGTTAGCCAATTTAAATATACTTCCCAGCATGCAGTAAATCAAGGTTAAAACACCCCAGGAATCTAAAATGAATGCTATATGTGTTTTTATACATATGTCCCTTGGATGTCAGATGATCTTCTCTTTACTGAATGTGAAATATTTTTTTTACAACCTTTAATAAACCATAAAGATAAGTGTGTACTGACCCTTTTCCACTGGTCAAAAGCCCTCTAACACCCACTAATATTTTATCGGCAATGGGAATGTTCTTCATTCGCATTCACTCCGAGTAACAACTCTGCAGTAGACAGAGGTTTTAATTGGCTCCAACCCACAGTGAAGGAAACGTGACACCTGGTTAAACGTGCTAATTCAGCAAGACAGCGATCGTGAGTGCCACAATTTTCAAAGCGATTGTGATGTCGAACATGACATTCCAGGAAAAAAATGAAAAGTAAACTCCTCTACTGTCTATAGGAAATAAATCAATTGCCTTTTTTAGCAGGTTTACCTGCAAAAACAAATGTGGGCATACCTGATAATTGTGATGTAAAAGAGGTAACAGCATTCACAATGTCTGAACTAAGCAACAATGAAGCTGGGCTGAGATTAAAGAAACTGTGAGGAGATAAAGCTACAAAAGAGAATTCATACATATTCATAGACCACAAAGTGGATACAGCACACAGACCAGAATTAGTTTACCTTTGAGTGAATTAACTAAAGTAAAATTCTGGGTCAAGTAGAAGGTAATTGAGGGAGAAGAAATTAAGTTAACAAAACAATGTTTTTGTTTCTGAATAATATCTGTGTCGATGACCTACATGACTTTGAACAAACACTTGGGATTCTGCATACTCACAAGTTTGGTTTTTGGCCTTCCACTATCTCGTCCTTGGGAATGGAGTAGAGAGCCTCGTACGTGCGCTTCTCTCCTGAGCCGTGGATGGCGTAAGAGTTCATCTTGTTAACCTTGGGAGGGAAGTACGACCAAGGGAGGAGAGCTTCACCCATCCACCTGTCCCCTGTGATTGTGGCATTAAACACCATCGGTAGTTGTTGCTGGAGAAAGAAACAAGTGCATAAATAAGATATATCTACCACCCAACGCTAAAAACATCTCTCAGTATTTTCTGGATGTCTGCATACCTGGAAGGCTTGGCCGACTCCTGATAGCAGTAATATCAGATGTTGTCCATGTCTAAAATAAAACCATAAAGAACATGTTTTATTGTTCTAGTGTGACACCATACTAGCCCAGTAGAAGATATGTCTCTGAAACTTAGGTTTAAAAAATGGGTGTTGTCTTGTATTTCAAGACTTAACAATTATATGTTCATTCATTACAACAAATATTATTTTGGAATGGAGGAAGTGCCAATGTAACTGTGGTCTATTACAGTAGTGTTGAATTATTTGTTGTAGCCTAAATATTGCAAGGCCAAAAAGTAACGCCAAACTATAGGTCGGACAAAACACTGAGAAGTCATTAAAAACCAGTGTTTACATATATGTAATTGTTACAGAGGCAGCTCTTCTGGTTCAAGAAGTGAGAGACCACATGTGACTAGAGGAGGAGCTGTTGCTCAGTAATAATTACATAGTGTTTAACCTACAGCAGCTTCCTAACATGTTCTTCTGCTCCAAGATGAAATAACGTCTCCCTATATCTTCACTGCAGAAATGAAAAGGAAGAAAACTGTCGAGGATTGCATCTCGTGCAGATGATGAACTAAAAAAGACTAAATTGTGAAAAGGGTTAGACATCAGGGAAGGAGAGTGAGATAGGAATTAACTCACTACTCAGCTGACCGGTGGACCCTGTGAAAGTGAGCTGTCTGCAGATACCTTACAGAACAAAGATTTTGATAAGCAGCCAAGTGCTCTTATACTGTCAGATGATTACCTCAGATGATATATCAGATGAAAATGAAAGGTCAAATGCAGTTCAGATCTATTCACTGTCAGTCTTGCTTCTATGATGCTCACAGAAATGTGAAGGACGTTTGGATGTAGCGCTCTCTCAGAGAGGTTAGAAGCAAGTCCTTGAACAACAGTGGTTCACTAAAGCCATGAACATGTTGATTCTCCTTTTCTTCCCTATAATATCTTGTAGTGTAGAAACAACCTATGTCATATGTTATGAGAATGGTCCAAAATGATGTGACCATGCATTTTTTCAATGCACAATACTGCCCCCAAAACACAAGACAGTGCAGCAGCTATGTACTTACGGACAAAGCTCCACTTCCAGGTAATTTTCTGTAGTGCTATCAAGGAAGAACGACTCAACAACTGAGGAGATGAAGAAGAAAACAAGAAAGATAAGGCCTTTAATCATATAATAAAGATTAGAAAGTGTTATTAACCTCATCAGCACCCATTCTTATTATTAAATCCTAATCATTTGAATCATGTACAGTTTAACATCATGTAAAAGTAAGAGATACATAAAGGTTCAAGTAGGATATGAGGACCAACACGCCCAGTGTGCTCATTATCTACTGAGATTATAATGGGATTGGTTTCCAATCTAATAACTAACATTAATGAGGCCAAATATGTGGGGCTCGTTAGCCAGAAATCGAACTTACTTAAGGTCAATTAGATAGAATTGTTGTTACTCAACCTCATTACAAGGTTTAATTGCTGTGTCACAATAGCAATGATAATGCAATTACTATTATGACCTCATAGACACAGATAGTCCCTAGTCTCCCAAATTTCATTGGTCTGAATTCAGAATTTTATCTCAGCTCAGAGAGATTGCATCACACAGACTAAACAAGTCATGGCTGAAATTACAGTGTTACAATATATACAGCTACTGGCAGGTGGAGACCATAGACGCATCACCTGTGCCTGTTACATGCAATCTATTACAATATCTAAAACAGAAGGCTGTAAATATAACAGTAGGTTGCCTTTTTTTGCACATTTTTCAGGCATTTTTCTGCCTTTATTGACTCGAAAGTGAGTGTGAAATATGGACAAAGACAGCGGGGGAGGACACGCAGCAAAGGCTGGATTGGGACCAAACACACAACTGCTGCTGCAGGAGGATTATAACCTTCGAATGCAGGTGGGAGCCCCAGGAATACTTTGATTTATTGGAGAACATACTTTTTAGTCAAGAGCTAGCGTTTGGTGAGAAGCTGATTTGGGAGAGTGGCGTTATAATCTTCTCATAACTCTACAAGAAACCAAATGAGCAGTCAATCAAACAGGTTGTCCTTAGAGGGTCACAGGGGAGCTGGAGCCAATCCCAGCCAACATTGGGCAAGAGGTGGAGTACACGCTGGACAGGTCACCAGCATATCGCAGGGACAACGTACAGTGATAAACATCCATTCACATTCATACCTACGGACAATTGAGAGTCTCCAATTAACCTAACCCCAATCGACATGTCTCTGGACAGTGGGAGGGAGCTGGAGAAAACAAAACAAATAGGGAGAACATGCAAACACACGGAAGACCAGGGTTTTGTTTCTTGGTGTGAGGTGACAGTGCTAACAACAATATCACCATACCGCCCTTTCGAGTAAGCATCTGTCAAAACTATTCCTTAGCCCTGCAGATTTAACATGCAGTTATTACATTTGCTAATGTGACTTCATACGTCAAATATGTCATTGCTGCTCTGCCTTCCATGCAACCACAACCTTCATCTCTATCAGACTTTTTCTCTTTACATACACTTTGATTTTGGACACTGTATTTTCTCATGAATATTCTTGTTATTGATATGCTCTGTTACACACGACACATCTATTGCACTTCTGTCCATCCAAGTATTCCTCACTTTTCTGAGGTTTTTGCATTTAAAAATTATTATTTTTAGCAAACTTTGATTTGATATCAAAATGCATTAATGTCACTTTAGTCATAGACATTCATCGTTCCTGTATCAGTCATGTAAATCTGTAAATCTCTAAATGCTATGGCCTACATCCACAGTATTTGCATCTCTAGAAAACTGTATGCTGCGGTACCATACACACAGCGTCTCTCGGCCTGGACTCCTACCTTAGTTCTTACCCACCTTCATAATCCCAGAGTCCAGGGAAGGCCTGACTCGGGGGTCCTGCAGGAGCTGCGGGGTCATTGAAGAAGGGACCGAACACCTCGATCTTCAGTCCTCCTTGTCCGGGAGAGAACAGGATCCTGATGGGCTCGTGGTTCACGGGATCACTGTCCCAGGTGCGCTGGATAGAAAACTCCATCAGTGTGAGAGGACTGAAAGAAAAACACAAATCATTCAGAATGAGTCAAGTCTGCTGTGACTAGTGACACAGTGATGTAGATGGTAAACTTACAGAGATGCACAGCACAGCAGGAAGTGGATAAGAGTCATACATTGGAGTCCCTGAGCTAACCCCATGTTGTTAAAGCCTGCAAAGATAAACTACTGTCAAGTGTGTCCCAGCTGAGCCTGTCGTGTATTAAAGTACTCACTGTTGGGCTCTTCATATCAAATACACGTCTATTACTCAATAACTAATGAAGACAATAACACACTGACTTCCTGGAACTTTGAACCATCAAAGTGTAGCAAGCTGATGAGCTGTAGTGTCAGATAAGATCTGGACAAATAAAGGAAACAAAACAGAAGCTGTTTTCGAAAGTAACTTTCTCCTCGCCAACATATATTATCAGAAAATCATAACGACCGATCCGGACCATTTACCATTTATCCCAAAAACTGTGTTCCTATCCAAGCTAGCCGAGTTTAACAGCAGCTATTTCCACTTCCAAAATCGTCACATGTGACAACGTGACTCATACTGGAACTAAAATCAAACAGCTGACTCACTTTTCAATACGTACAGGTTCGGTTTATCCGAATGAAGCGTTCCTGTTCAGACCGGAACCTTTCTTCTGCCACTGCTGCACAATCGGAAGTATTTTAGCGAAGCACACCCTTATAGCCATTGGTTGTTGTTTGTTTGCTTTGAACGGACGGCGGAACCGAGGAGAACCAAAACTCCTCTCACGTCTCCGAGTTTCACTCTGTCGCCCGACACATAACACACTTACCTCGTAAGTGGCACTTCCCCCCAGGGTTTGGTTTTGTGTTGACACTCAGTCGTTTATTTAACACGTAACAAGGTTTAGTTAGCCAAGCTTTAGCCGAGATTGATTAGCTGCGCCAGCTAATGCTAGCAGCAACCCCTAACAACACCAGCTAATACATGTTTTAGCATCTTTCTATCGTCGTTAGCTCAAGTCACGTGTTACTGACACACTTTTTAAACTCCTGCACTGAACTGAAAACAGCCACTGACTCATCCAGTGGGCAAATCGGAATTGCCTCTGCTTTAAATATAAGGTTTCACTGCTGATCGATTTCAAGCTGTCAACGCAAACTGTTTGCTTCTGTTCAGAGCTCAGCATCACTCAGCATCACTCAGCATGGATGCAGAAGTTGAGGTTTTGCGTGATCAAGGTAAGAACTAACCAGGGAGGGTAGCGCCAGTATATTGTTATATAAGTGGCCAAACTAAAAAGACCCCAAAGGGTTTAGATGGACAGATCATCACTGTATGGATACTAGTTACACATACACACACACACACACACACACGCACTATATATATATACTGATACCGCAGTAGTGATTTGATGTCAACCAAGCTATTCATTACATAGACACATCTTTCATGAATACACCTGCCAAATCATAGAACTGGTTGTTCATGTGCTTTTGCTTTGGTTAAGATACGAAGGCTTATTGAATTTTACCCTTTCATAAAATTTTTATAACTTTGTGTTTCTGTTTTCCTTCATTTGCTTTACTGCTCACATGCATCTCATTCTCTTTCTCCATCTGTTCACTTTCTTCTTTCCTAACAAAGTGTTCATGTCACTCATGGGTGACCTCTGTATAATGAATCTCTCATCCGTTCAAAGTTCTGAATGATGCTGGCAAAGACTGAATTTGTCCAAGATGTTTTCAAGATGTTTGTAATTGCCTTACTCTGCCTTCACTCAACTTAATTAGTGAATGAAAGTCCTGAAAACTTGAAACTTGTTAACCCTGAGTATTGTTGTGAATGTGCTTAACTGTTTCTTTGTTTTCAGACCACAGACTAAACTCTGCTCTCAGTCAGCATCAGTACGGGCACCACATTCAGTCCACATCATCTCAGGTATAAAGTTCTCATCATAAACTTTTATTAACTGTCAAATATTTGACTTAACCAAATGTTTCTGTGGCTTTTTTTTTGGTGTGTTGTATTCATATTATTCTCAGTATGTTTTTCAATAAGACATACAGTACATATACATATACGGGGATTTAATCAGTTCAGTATCTGTTCTCTGTAACATGCTCATCTATATCTATTTTGTTTTCATGAAGGAAACTAAATTAAGTGAATTGCAAACACCATGACACTAACCACCATGACTCCTGCATGTCTTATGTCCATCAGGTTGAGGAGGAAAGAAGAACAGGGGCTCCTGCTCACTGGATCTCAGACAGAAGGTCAGACATGTCCAAAGACTTTCTTGTATGGCAGTGCACATATAACCTTTTGCTGATGTCCACTCACCATGGATCCTTTTTTTTCACATCATCATCATCATTAATCTGTATTACAGTATGATGGCTCCTCTGATCGCAGAGTATGATCAGCACATGGATGAAATGAATGAGCAGTTGCAGAGATATCAGGTAAAACACACTTTAACAAAAGCCTTTACTAACTCAGTTATGGCAGCAATGTGAAAGGATGCTACAATCATGAAATATCTTACCTTTTACTTCTGAAAGACCATAAACAGATTGCAGATATATGGAGATGTCATATGATTGAAAAAGTCTTGCATCATCTTGAAAATATCAATTCGCAGGTTGGCTGCAGGTCCTTGGCTGCAAACTCTTAAAAGGCCTCAATTTTAAATGTAAAAGGCCTTAAAAAGTATTCAGCTGTCTTAAATTCAGATTGAATGGGCGGTAACTGCAAGAATATCTCTACTTCTGTCAGAAGTTAAGGAATCATCAGTTCTGGTATCCGCTGCGTTAGTCTTTTTATTGTTGAGTTTATGGGTTAAACTAGTGCCCTGGCCAGCCAGCTAGTTTGTTTATTAACATGGGGAAATGCTAGTTTTATGATAAGTGTGTTGAGAATGCAACAAGTACTTATGAAGGAAACTGCTGTGTCAAGTCTTTTAAACTTTGGACAATGGAGATCAAGGCAGTAGAGTCAAATGGACATAATGTGTTTGATTGGAACTGGTATATTTTCTATTTTGTTATGTTTTTCTATCAAAAGTTTGGTTATAAATTTAACTTGGTATTTCTAAAGTCTTGCATTTAACTGCCCAAGACTAAAAGATAAACCTGTGCGATCTTTTTCCTCATGAACACGAAACCCCTCTATTTCTTTGTCAATTATTACTTTTCATATGTGAAAACCTGAGCCCTGATTTGATTGCAGGTGCTCTAAAATCGACCAGGATGTCTGAACTGATTAATAACGAACGATTTCCCTCTGGTTTTTAAAATAAACAGGCGCAGATGACGGATGTCAAAGTGAAGTTGGAGAGGGTTGTCAAAGAGAACGAAAGGTAGCAATTTTCTACTGGTGTCAACATAGGAAGAGTAGTGACACAACAGGAGACATTAGTGAGGATGTATCACAGCAATCAACATAAGGTTATTCGACAGTATCAGATATTATGTTGTTTTCTGAGTTGGATTATTTTACACTTATAAGATAAGGTTACAGTGAGTTGTTAAGCCATTTACATTGCATCCAAGATCAAGATTGTGGTATTTGATTTAAAATCACAAACTATTCACAAATTTAAAAGTATGAATGACGCCTTTCATATAATTCCTCCGAATCAACACTTATCTTTTCAAGGTTGCATGCCGAGCTGAGGGAGTCTGTAGAGAAACAGCTGCATGCTCTGCCCGTGGCTTCAGGAATGGAGGGCAGCACACTGGAGGAGGAGCCAGTCATCAGGAACCTCCAAGAACAGGTCCAGCTGTCTGAGCAGGTCTGCAAATTTCCATATGTGACATCTAAATCTTTGTAAATTAAGTCCACAATTGCAATTATGTGTTTATATAATCTGCATATTATTTGTCACAAAATAATGCAAGGAAAGGCATTTGTTTGCTGTCTCGCGGCCCATGTACACACCATCTGGCTGCAGCATTGCGTTTTGGCTCCGTCATGGCGGTTGGAGACTTTCAAGCTCCTTTTTTTTCACTCTGGAAAAAATAAACGTGCTGTGTAGAGATAGCAGAGAACCAAGCTGCTCTAATTTTGAATAATACACTGCATTTGTCCCTAACTTTGTCTTCACATGTACATGGTACCAACTACTGTTTTTGTATTTGTAGTTAATGAGAGAGAGAGAGAGAAGAAAAGTAACCAAACAAAGGAAGGAGGGAGAGATGGGGACAGTTTTATCAGAAAAGTCTTTTGAAGAATTAATAAAATGTATTACCATGCACAATTAGACATGTAAATTATTTGATATAAATGAGAGTCTATTTGGCGCTTGTTATTTAAGTACGTGATGTCATTAAGGTTGAATTGGGATGCTATTGCGTAGTACAGGAACCGCCTGGGGTCTAGGCTATGGTAGTGAACAAATTCAATGTTTGACAGCAACAAATGATTGGCTGGTTGATCATGGCAAAATCTGATTGGATTACTGTTAACATCCAACAGTCAGCTGATAAGAAGAGGTAGGCAGAGTGAAAGAGAGCTTTTTCAATAAATGGTGATTTTCGGAGTCACTCCTCAGATACCTGCAGCACTGCTGCTCTCTCTCTCTCTCCCTCTCTCCCTCTCTCCCTCTCTCCCTCTCTCATTTACACACACACCCGTCTGTCAGTCAATAGAAATCCAGTCGCTTCTGTGGCCTGGTGGACTGTCAAAACATCCATAATTCCAGGTTTTAAGAATCTTAGGCAGGCAGATGTCTGCATTACTTTCTGCTTTAGCTGTGTGCCCATGGAAACATGGCTGCGATGGGCACACATTCCCTCCAAAGAGTATGAGAGTAAACAAGTTATTTGTCAACAGAATACGGGGTCATTCTTGTATACTGTCAGTTGACTGTGAGACCTGCGGCAGAGGATACTTGCTAAGATGGTACAGATGCCAAAGGATTGTTTTTAATAGCCTTAACAATTTTATCACATGGTCAAAATTTGAATTGGTGGTTAATGGTTTAACTGTATATGATCATCCCTAGTTGCAGCAATTTGTGGAATAATTGATCAGCTGATCAGGAGAGAATGTTTCTGCTAAAACAGATTGAATAATTGAATAATAATGTAAGTGCTTGTCAAACATTCTCTAGCTGAATCATTTCAGTGTAAATGTCTTAGTTATATGTCCCAGTAAACTTTGTTTGCTGCTGCTGGATGCTGTTGTGTGTCCACTTTGTTTGATTTTAGAAACCAGATTTTAGAAGAAATACTATAACTCTGCATTCAGTTGTGGGCAGGTGGAAACAGCCACTTTAACTCAAACTTGAGTTACATGAATGAGCGATTTTTTGATTTTTTTGTTGACTTGCTCACTTGCCAAGAAGAATCCATCTGAAAATAAGACCAATTTGGAACCGGTTAGAAGACATTATTTCTCTTTGAATGAGTCCAGCTGTTTTCTATGCTTTGTCTGTTTGTCAAATGCTTTGGTTGTGTTCTTCTCATCTAACTCCAAGTAGCAACAATGTCCTTAGCTTACATGACTGTCTCTCCTGTGTGTGTGTGTGTGTGTGTGTGTGTGTGTGTGTGTGTGTGTGTGTGTGTGTGTGTGTGTCTGTGTGTCTGTGTGTGTTTACTGTGCATGTGTTCAGGAGCGGGTGCAGGCCATGGAGCTGTGGCAGACGGCCGCCCAGGAGCTGGACCGGCTCCAGCAGGTCTACCAGAAATCCATGTTGGATGGCCAGGTCCACGATGCTCAGAGACAGCAGCTCAAGGTTCAGTTCTCGTGTTAACATGCAGAACCAGCACATTATTAGATCTTTAATGTTTCACCACTAGATGGAGCTTTTATTATAACAAAGCAATTAATTAGAGCAGTTAATGTTTAATATTAGCATGAGGTAATTACATGCAGTTACATTTCAGTGATGTCCTCTTTCTTCTTGCCACAGGATCAGCTTGTTCAGTTCCAGCAGCACTCGAACAAACTCCAAGTCACCAATCAGAAGCTGGAATCGGTAAGTGACGGTTAATTAAAAGTGTGTTAAATTATTGCCTCCTAATTAGCCATGGGATCGAAATGGTGTGCATTTCTCCGAAATGAACCCTGCTCTAATAATTAATCTTGCAACTAAGTGAATTGGTTTCTAAATCACTCTGCTAGTCAGCCAGAACTTTCTTGGTTGCATAATGGACTGTCATTTTGCTTGGTAATCCTCTAACTACCTTGGATTTTTCTTTTCTCAGCGCTAGGCTCTGTCGCTCTCCCTCACACACACACACACACACACACACACACACACACACTCACGCTCACGCACATGCACATGCAAGGGGAAACCCATTCCACTTGTTTCATTCAGAAANACACACACACACACACACACACACACACACACACAGGTATGCCTGATGGTTATTTTGGACATAATACAACCTGTGAAGACAGAGTAATACTATATCCCTCTGATGCATTTTTAATGAGAGGAAAGCCCTTTTACTCCCCCTCTCTTCACTTATCACACATGCGGTCTCTTTCAGTCACCGCATGTTGGAACAACTGACTATGTAACAGTGAATGACAGACAGAGGCTCCATGGGTTTGTTCTAAAAGTACATACAAAGCTCTGAGAGAAGTTTTAGGGAAAGTTGGTTTTGAGGGAAAGATGAAGTCATGCCTCACAAATGGCAGTCTTGTCTTTGTTGCCACACTCAGACCAACCAGCAGTTGCTGAAGACGGTGACAGAGCAGAGCGCAGAGATGGAGGAGCAACACAGTCAGCTCAGGTGACAGAGCTCACAGAATAAGGCTATAATTTGGAAATTGCAGCCAGTTTTCTGTGTTGTTATATGTTTCAACTGTTGTTGTTTTTTCTCTTTCCTGCTGTAGACAAGCCAAGACTGAACTGAGGACAGCCACAGCCAAAGTGGATGAGATGACCAAATTGCTGCATAATGTCCAGAACCAGATACAGAGACGGGTCAGGGAAAACAAAAGTGCAAAAGAAAATTAGTTGTTAATGTCCACCTAATGGCAGTGAAATTGGAAATTTCTGGTTTCTTCCTCTGCCAAGGAGGCTATGTTTTCATCCCTGTCTGCATATTTACTGTGTGGTTGGTCTGTTTGCAAACAAGATTATACAAAAACTTGTATTTCAGATTTATTTTTTACTTTCTTTAACATTGACTTTCGACATTTTACTTAATTTCTCAAAGCTCTGCTCTGAGAGCTACATGTGTGTGTTTGTGTGTGTATCTAGGAGGAGGATGTTGCAGAGGCTCAGAGCCGTGAGGATGCGGCCGACAGACGGCTCCAACAGCTCCAGGCAGCTTTGAGCCAGCTAGAGGCCAGGTGAGCATTTTTAATCTGTCAAGTATTTAAATTATTTCTCACATTTCTGTATCATAGAACTCTCAGATGTAGATTCCAGACTGATGAGGGGAGAAAATTGTTCAAGTTATGAGTGCAATTTGACAAATCTCAATGTGCTTTATAAGTATGATCAATATATGATCATTTAAGTGAATTTAAATACATAACAGCAGCACGACAACATCAACAAAAGAAGAGCGTATGGAGCAGCTTTATGTTTGAATTTCAGAAGTAATGGTGTTTTACATTAGAGCTATAAGGTTCTGTTTTTCTCCCCTCTTCTGCACTGCCAGGCTAAAGGCATCATCTCAAGAGGCAGAGTCCTTTCGCAGAGAGCAAACTGTGAGGGAGAGGAAGTTGGGGGAACTGCAGGCACGTTGCAGCACCCTAGAAGAGGAGAAGTATGAGGCCCTAGCCAAAGTTAGAGAGAATGTTCAGGTGGCGGAGGAGGCTGCACTGCAAAAAGACCAGGTAACTGCCATTGTTTGCTCTTTTTCTCTTCTTTAATCACTCTATCCCTTCTCCCTCGCTTTTAGTCTTTTTCCCTCACCAAGCCTCCCCCTCAGTCTATTAAGCTCTACTTTCCACTGACAAGTGTCCACAGCCTTTCAGCAATAGAGAACTTTTTCCCACTGAAAAGTGAGTCTGTCTTTGCCCTCTCCCTTCAGGCCTTGTTAAGAGAGAAACAGAGGATGGAGGAGGTAGATAAGATGAAGGAGGCCAACAAACAGTTGATCCAGCACGCTGCGGTCCGCACCAGAAAAGAGGTGGGGAGATTTGCATGACTCTCTGAGCAAGAACACAAGAACATATTACAAACATCCTCCGCAATAACACTGAAAGAGTAGAAGACAGAAAAAAAGAAAAATACAGCCACAACAAATTACCTTCACTGTTCTATCACGTATCCTCATAAAAGCACTGGATGATATCATGCTGTTTGGTGCCAAACCTCTATAATTAGAAGAAGTTGCATATATCAAAAATGTTAAGAACAGCCTTTTGCCTTTAAAATGAAGAATGTGGAGCATCTTGTTAAGTTACCTTTTAATGTAAATCTCACAAATAACACAATACCTTGGCTCATCAGCCCCACATTATTGTGGTGTCAGGACTTTGAAAATATTGTGTAAGAAACTGAGTCTATTTCATAAAAGAACAGCAAGCACTTTAAGGAAAATGCCTCTTTTGTGGAGGTAGAAATTTGATATTCAGAAGGATTTCATAGTTTCACAATAAGGTTGGTTCAAAATTTGGATCCAAGAGTGAAACCCTGGTGAGCATGAGTTTTTTTTTTTCTCGTAGTATAACAATTAAAAAAAAAAAAAAAATATGACTAATTATCTAAAAATCTAGGGTTTTTTTCAATGTGGCCCGAATACTCGTCATACACATGCAACCACAACCTTTAGCTGTACCATTCCCACAGGTTCAGTCTTTTTTTACCCAATAAGCCAAAAGCAAATCACTGCTCTGTCCTCCTGCCTAGCCTCGGTTAGAGACCTGGTGATTAATGTTCTATTAATGGGTGTTCTTCATCAAGCCCTTCAACTGTTTAATCCTGTTAATGAAGCTGCATACGACTTCGGTGCTGGCTGTCATCTTATGGTCTGTCTGGCCTTCAACACGAAATGAAAATTTAGAGATTAACCAATGGTGCATCAAACTTTCAGTAAATTATGAACCAAAACTTGGCTTTGATTTTTTTTTTACCTTCCAGGTAACAGGTAATTTTGTCATAGAGTTGGTGGTTAAAGTTGAACAATGCAGCCGAAGTGTTTTGAGCTTAATATCCTCTCTCCCTCATTTTCATTTAAAACCAATCAATGTTGAGAATAAGCACATGTGATGAAGAGTTAATCCCCAAACTGCTCCAGTCAGACCTCTGACTTACCTGAGGACTTAAGAACCACTCAGACGTTTATGCATGTGGGGTAAAGCCTCATAAAATAGAGACCTGACCGTAGCATAATGTAACTATGTATTTTCAAACAGGCCCTATTTTTGTTTGGATCTTCTACACCCATACAAGAATGCACAACTGCTCTTCGCAATTCCATATTGTTGGTTGTAACGTGCCCATAATTGAAAGAATGCTCCCACAGAGGTAATGAATAACAAAAACTGTGAGCAAGCAGATGTGGATGTAAACAGTGAAGGTTTAAGTATGTTTAAGCAAACCCTTTTGCCACTTAAAGGTTCAGTGTGTAGAATTTTGTGACATCTAGTGGTGAAGTTGCATGTTGCAGCTGAATACCCCTCACCTCACCCTCCCCTTCCAAACATAAAAGAGAACCTGTGGTAGCTTCAATTTAGATGTTTAGTTTGTGCAGTTTCGACTATTGTAAAACACATGGCGGCCTCCATACAGAGGACCTGCTCCCGATGCAAATATAAAGATTTTAAATAAAAAGGGCCCAAATCACCCTGGTCAGTAAACTCAGTTTGCCTGTGGGAAACTATGGATACTTATATACTGTTACACTATTACTGTCTATAGTTTGAGAGATAATGTAGAATGTCAAGGTTTATTCTCTTCTAGGATACTTCACCTTATCATCAATTATGGGGTGGAAGTGCAAGTAATTATGGGGTTGAATATTTCTTCATATCTGTCACAGTAGGCAGGTCATACAGAAAATATTTTAATTTTAGCTTGTAAACAGTAGAAACCCTTTATTAGAACAGTGTAATGCTCTGCAGCCATAATAATACACTTTTTACCATACTCTAAATATTATCTTTGTCACAATTATATAGTGAGCTTTGTCTCTTGCTTCGGAAAATGCAAATCAAAGTTTAGACTTTCTGCTTTTTATATTTCTCTGAATCTTTAGTATAAAGACAAATGCTCGTTTGGTACATTGAAGTAGCTCATTCCTAAAAACATGGTCCACACTAGAAAATGCTCACAACCTCAAAGGTGTAGACTGGTAATTTTCTGGTGATTTTAATCATTTGTATGTGCTGCCCAGTCAAAGCTGAAGTCTGGAAATTGATCATTTACGTCAGCTACTTTATGCTTCACTTCAACTTTTGAACTTAAGCTGCTGAGTTCAGTCTCCAACTCAAGTGCCTGCTTCTTTGTTGGATAAAAGTTACTGTCTATCATGCTGAAAGAAGAATGCAAAGCAATTACACGTCTCAGATCCCTGCAGTCATTGCCCATATTTGAGCTGTGTGACTTTATCTTTAACAGGTAGAAAATGTGCGCAAGCAGTACAACGCTCAAATCCACCGTATGGCCGAGGAGCTGTCTGCACTGCAGCTGGTAAGACCCTGTCCTCTAAGGACAAATTCCTTTCATAATCACACAAAATCCTTTCTTTCAGTCTCTACCTGACTCCTCATCTTTTTTCATTCTATCTCCAACCCTCCCCTCTCCCCGACTCTCCTTGTTCTGTCTCTCTGCCTCTCTGTAGGAGTGTGCCGATAAAGAGTCTCAGATTGAAAGATCCATGCGAGAGAGAAAAGCTGCAGAGGAGGAACTGGAGAAGGTTATTTTGATAGAAACCATAAAACCACAGAAAAGCATCTGCTGAATCTTGGCCCAGAGTTTAGTGTTTGATTATGTGATTTCATGAATGGGTTCGGGCAATATTATTGATTGTTTTCATGTTCTTTGTTTTAGGTGTATAAGGAGGGCAGGGCAGAGCCAGAGTTCAGGAAGATTGATGCTCTTCATCAGAGGTGTCTGAATGCAGAGAGGATGAAGGAAGACATGAGCTTGACTCTACAAAGCACCCAGAACAAATTGAAAAAGATGGACATGGAGTAAGTGCAGTAGTTAATACTTTGTATAAAAGGCAGGAAGTTAATTTCTCCACCTTTAATCACTTACTTCCACTTACATCCTCTGGCCCTCAGAATGACAGCTGGTGTTGCTCCTGTGGCTCTATCTGTTGCCAATAATAATGGTGGTTGTATCTGTCTTTCTCCTTCCTTGATCTTTCCGTCCTTCTTCAGCTACAGTGAGGAGCTGTCCCGGTGCCAAGAGGAGGTGCGACGGCTGCAGGGCTCTCTGGCGGCAGCCCGGGATGACTGCGTGAATGTCAGTGAGGAGCGGCTCCAACTGCAACAGGAGAACTTGCAGCTCCGGAAGGAGATGGATGAGCTGCGGAAAGCCACCCTGCTGGTCCAAAAGAAGGCCAAACAACAGGTGACTTTTTAATAGATAGTAGCAGAAATGGTTGAAGGAATAGGTTATATCCTTCATATATATATATATATATATATATATATATATATATATATATATTTATATATATATATATATTTATCTTTTAAAGTCATGTGACCTGGTGACATTTTGTTGTGCTGGATGCAGTTGAATACAACTTCTCTCCAGTATACATTGTGTTAGGACCAGCATGCATCACGTCAAGTCAGCGCTGAGCAGAGTTGCATCAAGTCTAATGCACCTAATGCCTCCAAATGCTCTAAATGCCTGTGTTCGTATCTGGGATATTTTGTCTTCATTTTGGACAGTTGTAGGAAGTGGAGACATGTTGTCCATCTTTATATACAGTTTATGGGTAGTACTCATGACAAGAAAGTGTGTGGAAGAGTGCCACTATAACAACTGGAAAGCCAATTCTGAAACCAGAATGAGCCTCATTAGAGTGCATACCTACGCCAAGACTCAATAGTCCCCTTAAATTCAATCAAGCTGCACGAAATTTCACATACTCATAGATCAGTTCCCTTAATATGCCTGATTTTTTCATCAATGGAAAACAATTCCTGGATCTGCCCCAACCCTGATCTGCATCAATATTTAAGTAGTTCCTGCCTGACCCATACCACATCTCTCCACTAAGTTTCATGATAATCTACCCAGTACCTATTGTGTAATTGTGCTAAATAAAGTAATACATACTTGCATAGGGGCTATGGGGAAGTTGGCACAGGTTAAAAACAGAAAGATGGTGAATGAAAGACATGGTTGGCACACAAGACATACTTTCTTAAAGTCTACAGGTAATGTAGAATTCATTTTTATTAGTTCGCGCAAGGTTGGATACGTAAGGAGTCTTTATCTACTTAAATGAATGTTGGATCAGAAGGGTTAACTAATGTCTTCATACCTCCTCACTCCGCTGCCTTGCTCCAGGTGTCACAGATGGAGCACGAGTACAGCCTGAAGGAACAGGGGCTCGACGCTCAGGTGAGGGAGCTGGAGGAGACCAGCCGCAGCTCCACCATCGATCTGACACGCCTCCTCACAGCGCAGCAGAAAAGCACTCAGCGTTGGAAGGAAGAGGCCAAGAACCTGGTCCAGGCCTTCGAGACTAAAATCACAGGCCTTAAGTAAGAGCCCATGAAAATAGATGTAACATGACTAAAGAAAGGAAAGAGGGATAGAAGATATGATAATCTTCAAATATTCAAGGAACATGAATGGATTTTTTTGTGTATTCTCTAACAATAATTGTTATTGTGGATTTACTGGGTAATGTAAATAAATGTGAAGCGATTTGGCGCTCAAAGAGAATAAGCAGGCTAAGCAAATGTTTTCTGGTTTGATCAACCTGCAAAACGAAGCATACAATGATAATCAGTAGGGCTGTAACAATTCTAGAACCTCCCCCAAAAAAATGGAGGTATGAAACGAACCATGGCTCAAAAGCTGAGGTCCGAACTGAACGGTGAATTCGGAGTCATTACAGCCCTGATACCCAGTCTAATGGAAACTTGTGATTGAATAACAGACTGTTCAGACAACATGTGTCTGCTCCCCAGTGTGAAACAATTTCACAAAACATGAAAAAAATGTATTAAAGGTTCAGTGTGTAGAATTTAGTGAAATCTAGTGGTGAAGTTGCATGTCGCAGCTGAACACCGCTCACCTCCCCCTCCAAACATGAAAGAGAACCTGAGGTAGCTTCAGTTTTCATAAAAACTCAAAAGGTGTTTAGTTTAGTACTGTAAAAAAACATGGCGGCCTCCATAGAGAGGACCCGCTCCTGACGTAAATATAAAGTATTTAAATGTAAAGGGTCAAGACATTTTTTTACAATATAGATGAAACACACTAAAGAAAACGTCACTAGAATTATTTTATAGTCATTTTCTGCCAATAGATCCCTTTCACCTAAATCTTACACACTGTGCCTTTAACACATAAGGGAGTTGAACTTAAACTGTCTTTATTGAATAAGAAAACAATGCTTCCTAGTGCCTGGAGACTTTTTTATTGAGTTTTATCAAAAAACACTGCATCAAAGATAAAACAACAGCTAAGGTGGAGCACCAAAGATTTTGATAAGTTGAAAAGAAAAATTTACTTAGCACTTGAAGTTGTTTTGCCCTCAGCAACAGCTGTAGTGTGTAGAGATTTATTGGAGATATTAAACCTTCTGAAACACCTGAAAATAAAGCTTTATAAATGTGTCTTTATCTTTGTGAGAGGCTGCTCAGCTCTTATCTTTTTTTTAATTCTTTAAATGTTTGTTTCAGGGGAGAGCTGAATCGGCAGAAGCAGCGTTCACACGATCTAGAGATGCAGCTTGAAACCTATCATAACACCATTACTGAGGTATGTGTCACAGAATGGTGATCTTATAAGGGGAAGTGTGAGATGTTTGTCCTTCAGTGTAGGACACCGTCTTCTACCTGGTGGGAAGAGCTGCCCTTTGCTGTTCAGGCCTGTTCGGCTGATGTTAGACTCTGCAAATGTCAAGCCTCATTTGTAATTGCACTCAGACAAGCATCTAAAAAAGGCAAGAAGCAGGAGGCATTTTACTAGAAACCTGCAAGATTAGCATTAAGTGATGAGCATCTGCCAGCGTGACAGGAAGATTTTGGAAAAGTTTAATTTCACACTGTCCATTCCATCTACTTTATTTATCTGAGAAATAGTACATAATTAGTTGGAAAGGGGGTGAAGTAAAGGTGACAAGAATAATGAGGTGACACTGACGTCTGAGAGGTTAATTCACAGGTTCAGAGAATGTATTATGATGCACAAGCACAAGACTGGTGCCAATTAATAATGTGAAGATTCCCGGACAGTTTCTGCATGATTTCAATGCCAAGTCCACATGTGTAAATAACAGCCAAGAAAGCATGTCTACCATAATAGATGGCGATAATTGCATCATGTGTTCTCTCGTTGCTTGGGGACTTCAGAAACAAAAACTTAAACTCTGTAACTTTTGTGCGCTCGACTTCGTGGAACTAATTGATATGCATGTGTTTGTGCAGTATGAGAGGCAGCTCGCAGAGAATCAAGAGAAGTCGAGTCGTCTCCAGAGACGACTAACACAAACTGAACAAAGGGCAACTACTGCAACACAGCAGGTATGGGTAACTACTGAGAGAAGTGGTGACATGGTGCGACTCATACACGGAGAGATCTGTATTTTTCCTGTTCTCTTGTTATCTGATTGAACACTGAAGTTATTTATCACTTGTATTTATTTTTTTTACAGCTGAGTATGCTGGCATCGCAAAGAAGGAAAATGGCCGTGGTTGATCCAGAGAATTTGTGATGTTTACTTGTCACTGTTTTGTGGGAAAATAATGTAGCCATGTTTAGAGCACTTTGTTCTTTCTTTTCAAAATATGAAATCAATGTACTGGCCAAAGGCACAAAACAGAAATGCTGGTATTTGTGCCCTGGTGGTAACATGACACCAACATGTCTCAATGTTGTCAACCAATGTTGTTCCAATGGTTTTTATAGAGCATTATTTGAATAATATGTCTGATAAGTAGTATACAGGTGCATCTTGAAAAATTTTAATATTGTGGAAATGAAGTGTTATTTCATGTAAATGAAAATGTTTTAATTTAATTTAAATTTAAGTATGGCCTACAGCGCAAAAATTGTATCTTAAAATATTCTTATATATAATTTAGAATTTTAGCAAATTACTCTTAATACAGTGTAAATACTGTATGTCTCGATCAGTACACACAGCCATCGTCATAAGGAAGACAGCTGACTTGACAGTTGTCTATAAGATGATCATCACGACATCCTCCACAAAGAGGGTGAGCCACAGATGACTGAAAGGGCTGACTGTTGGCAGAGTGCTGCATCAAAGCATTGGTGGAAAGTTGACTTGAAGGGAAATGTGTGGTAGGAAAGGGTGCACAAGCAACAGGGATGACCGCAGCCTTGAGTAGATTGTCAAGCAAAGCTGAGTCAAGATCATGGGAGAGCTTCACAAGGAGTTGTCTGAGGCTGGAGCCAGAGCATCAAGAGCCACTACACAGGAAATGGTCCAAAACCCTCTTTTCGTTTGGAAGGTTCCAGAGACTGAAGGAAAAGTGGGGAGACACAGAATCCAAGTTGCTTTAAGTCCCTTCAGTGTATAGTTCTGCAGTCTGTGATGATTTGGGCTGCCATGTCATCTGCTGCTGTTGGTCCACTGTGTTTCATCAAGTCCAGAGTCATCAGCTGTCTACCAGGAGATTTTAGAGCACTTCATGCTTCAATCTGTTTCAACATTTCTTGACTTGATACTGGATTCATTAGCTTTAAGCCATAATCATAGAAAGTTGAACAAAAAGGCTTGAAAGATATATTTAATTATTTATTTGATGTGCAATGAAAATTCACTTTTCCATAATATTCATTTTTTTTAGGTGCACCAATACAATTGAAGTTCTTACCTCAAACACTCCAGGTTGTATCACTGAATCAAAATCAGGATCTACTGCAAGTCTTTTATAATAAAAATAAACCGCTTTGAAATACACTGTGTTCTTCATCGTTTCCTCTGTTTGTTGTGTACTTTGTTTTTGTTGTTGCATTTGTCAAATTGCCTGAATGAGAAAAAAGAAAGTCGTAAAAACAAACGTAAAACCAGCCACGTGCCCTTGTTTGGTTGCGGTGCATGCAGGGAGAGAGTGTCGTTGCTAGGAAACCGCCAACCTGAGCCCTACACCAGTTACTCTTGGACAAACGGAAAAGACGATTTAATGAAGCTAAAACATTGAATCTTGATGAACACTAGGTTGGAGATGAATACTGAACGGTAGGGCCGTCTGATAACTTTCCATTACAATGTTTACTGTTTGACACGATGTCCATAGATTTCAGACGACATCAGAGGCAGCTGCCTTTAAACTGGTCTCACAGGCTAATGTCTTCTCAACACATCGTTGGCAGGTTCGGTTGTCACCGGAAGTGTCACTACGAGTTACCGCTGCCACGATTTGAGTTTACTGGGGTTTGCTGCCTTCACCGTTTGAAGTAACGTGAGACTATCAACTTAGCTAATGTTAAGCCAGGTTACTCAAAAGTATTGTTTGCAGCAATGTGTGGAAAACAATTTAAATGTCACAATTCTGGCTAATGGTTCGCGTAGTGTTCATGTTCGCTGCGTAGCTAAATAATACAACTCAACTTTAGTTTGGTACTTTTGTCTTTGATTTGATAAAACCCCGTGACTTTACGTTACCGCTGCATTTTAGTTTAGTTTCAGACCCAAGTTTGTTTTAAAGGACGTTTTTAAAAGATAAAATCACAAAATAGACAACATACGTATTTAACAAAAACATAACATAAAATTAATATTCAGTAATAAGTATTGTGGGACAATAAAAAGGAATCTTAACATGCAGTCACATGTCATTTCCTCTGTGCTGAACTGCTCCTCTGTCCCACAGAGTGTGAGAATCATGGCCTCTACTTCTGCCAGAGACTCCCTGCACAGTCCAAGCAGGGAACAAGAGTCCACAGGTAGGTCCTGCTAATACAGAGCCTTTTGCTGTAAAGGTACAGTCTGTCAAATTGTGTGATATCTAGTGTTGAAGTGTCATGTTGCAGCTGAACACCCCTCACCTCACCCTCTCCTTCCAAACATGAAAAAGAACCTGTGGTAGCCTTTAATTGTCTTAAAAACTCAAAAGGTGTTTAGTTTGTCCAGTCTGGACTAATGTAAAAAACATGGCGAGTGTCCCCTCGATGTAAATATGAAGTATTTGAATATAAAGGACCTTTTCTGGGTTAAAGAAAACTACAATTTATACAATTTAGATGAAATGAACTAATGAAAACATCATGAGGATTATTCTACATTAACTTTCTGCCAATAGTTCCCTTTCACCTAAATCTTACAAACTGGACCTTTAATAGAAATGTGCTAATCAGGTCTTACATGACACATATAGTATATAATCAATAGCTCTTGGTAAGCATACTCTTTTAATTAAGCGGTACTTAAATTCTGTTTGACACAGACGTCCGTGAGCGGCCTCACGAGCTCCCTGAAATGAGCAGCTCCACCATGCTCCCAAGGCCCCCGCTCCATGTTAAAGACCCTCAGGTATGACTTGGAAAACAAATATTAAAGTCAATGAGATTTTAAAGTATACAGATAGGAATGTTTTGTAGATGCCAGTTTTCTTCTCCTCAATGCAGACTGTGCTGAAGAGACGTGTGAAACGGAATCAACCCAGTCTTAACCACTTAAAAGCCCAAGAGCAGATGCATTTTCCGGGCTGGTGCACTAAGTTACCTTCACCTCAACGAACAGAGGGGCCACTTGGGCACCAGAAACCGTTGCCTGTCCGCCTACCTCCTCTGCCGTCCACTACAAAGGTCAGTGACATGCAAGCATGAGAAGAAAATCAGCATTGCCAATGCCAATAGTATAAGATGGACATGTCCCTGAAAAGTGTATCTGCTATGAAGTTATTTCATAAATCAAAATCAGCGCTAAAATCCAAGAATACCTGTAAAACCGTAGCATTTTTTGTAATGATATTTTTGTTATCAAGCTAAAATGCATCTCATTTCTTCTGCTTGAACAGGTGAAAAAACATAGCGTTAATCAATCTTTTTATGCAAATGGTTGAATTTTGTTAAAGGCAAAAAGAATGTGTAGTTAAATGATCTGAATTCACCTTTTCCTTGTGCCTCTCAACTGCTCCTCCTCACTTGTCGCAGAATGTGGCATCAACGTCCAGTCTCCCCAAGCGACCCTTTTTCCTTAAGGCTAGTGGACAGCTGGATTCTCCTGGCAAAGTTAAAATTTATGAGTACGGCAAAGATGACTTCTTGATGATCAATGACAAAGGTGTGGTAGACGTGCGCAAAGATGAGTGTGACTTTGTGACCCACAAACGCTGGGAAGAGGAGTACGACTACCACTGCAAGATTAGCTCCATCCCCTTCTTTGCCCTCTTCAAAAAATGGAAACCTTTCTATGTCTGGCGAAGCAAAGTTCGCGCCAAGAAGTTTCATTTGTCCCGAGAGTCCTTGCAAAACAACCTGTTCTTTGTCAATCAGGTATGTTACTGGGTGCATTAACCAATGTCTACATTTAGTCACAAACTGTCTTAATGATCTTCAATAAGAAACAACAATCACTAAAATTTAAAGATCTGGTTGACTTCAAAACCCATAAATTATGTACAAATCAAAAAGTTACTTATTACCCATCAGCATCCAAAACTTTTATCAGATGAGAGAAAATCAGCATGAGCTGAGAGGAAGCAATTTATGTAAAAATAATTAGTGATAACCTAACACAATATCACTGTATGACAGTAAAATAATGGAGTAATTGTACAAAGGAATGGAAAAACATGCTGAACATTGAAGAAGACGAAATTAATGTTTAAAATGACATTCTGAATGGATATACAGTATATAATGGAACAGGATATGTCGATTGTCTTGTTGCTAAAGTATGTCACATCATTTTTTTCTTTATTTGGATTATTTTTGCTCTAAATGCTCTTTTTCTTACTCTATTTTACAATGGTAACCGGAATGGTAACCGGAATGGTAACCGGAATGGTAACCGAAGCAGAAAGCTTGAAGGTGTATTTTTAACATACATTTTGAAGACAAAATATAAAGAAGGGGTAGCACTTGAAAAGTTCACAATTAATTTCTACTCCTTTTCAATGTAAAATGTGCCCTTAAAGTGTAATTTTGTTTAATTTTCTCATCTGAATGCATAGATAAACTTTCAAATCATTCGTTTATTCACTGTAAATATGCTCACTTAGAGAAACTATCTTGGAATGAACATAAGAGGTTTAGATATGAAGTTCAACCTGTTAACATGTGCAAATCTCATTCAGTTTTTAAGCTCTGCACTGATAGACATCAGGAAAATGTGTTACCAAATCAGCGACACAGGCTTGTGTCACATGGAACAAAAACACAACTGCACACTGCAGCAGTTCCAGGACACACAGTTCAAACAACTGCAAAAGGTGCAATACCTCTTTCATACAGCACTTGGCTTAAATATTCATCATATATAAATGCATTTTGTACATGTTTGCGGGTGTCCTCAAAAATCTGTTGACCTCATTTATTTATTCCCATCAGATTTTGGATGACTTGAAGAAGTTTGAAGTCCTGGTAAAGGAGGTGACACTTTGTGCCTGTCGCAACTTCTTGGAACAACAACCCAAGTCTGATAACCCAAGTGCGTGTATACAGAGTGCACATGATTGAATGTACATACATAGACTTCAGTATTAAAAGTTTGATACAAGTTCTCTTTTTGAAACAGATAATCAAATAGATGAGAAACTGCTTATGCAGATCAACAAGAAGATTCTCTCTGGCCGCCTTGTTCGGTGACTTTTTATTGAATTTACTTCCCTTTTTTACGATTTGCTCCCTTTCTGTATTTATGTACAAGGCATATCCCCTTCTCCTTAAATAATGAAAGATATTTTGACATGTGCTCTTCTTACAATGATATGTCTATAGCATGAACCCAGTCCAACCTGTCTGTTTCTCACATACTCAGCTTCATCCGTCTTGTTGACTATATGGTCGTCAGCACCTTGCACACTTTGGTAACGAATGCAGTGGCCAAACTTCTGGCTGTGCTCCAGGAGCGGGTACATCAAACACCCAGCCACGCCATCATTCAGAGCTGGAGCCAGCACCCTGAGACCGTCACTGACCCTGTGGATCAAGACATGGATGGGAAGGTACAGTGTTGTTTCAGTACTTTCACCAGTAAAACCATCAAGTTTAGCAGACACAGAGCTTTTCTCAGTTTGGTTTTGATTTGTGTGTGTGTGTGTGTGTGTGTGT